AAATGTCATGCTTGGCCCGATCTCGTAAAGCAATCTCAATTGTTCAATTCAAAGTCGGTTCGATGTGAACAGTAATACTTTTCATTTTACAGTAAATCATTCATTGCTTGATATATCGAATGTCTATTCGGCATGTAGGTATACTTCACTCATTGAATTCTATAGTACTATCTCCAATCTGAATTATGTAATGAGAATTCAGTTCCAAAAATTACACCATCCACCATATCGCCTCTCGATCGCAACTCAATAATGCCGAAGGACAAAGCACAAAATCAAAAGAATGCAACAAAAGACAGACAGATGATGGGTAGTGTGGGTGATCTTCTAACTGAAAACGAAAAATTGTTATCGGTTGCTGGAGCTGAATTGCCGGATTGCTTTGAAGGTTTTGTGCGTTTTTTCTTTTAAAAATATTACGACTATGACAATATGTTTTGTGATGAATACAGCTTCCAAATTCCAAATTTCTTGGTTATGTCATATCGAAAACATTTTTTAGGACGTTAGTCAGTCCATAACATGCGATGTGGTACCACTTTCTCGACATTGTTTTTCAATCAGTATTAGTTACAATGCTGAAAGCAATTTGCTCCGTGCCCATAACATCAGCTTAGTTGAGAGAATATTTCTAAGGGAAGAATAACTTCTATTTCGTTGATCGTTTCCAGTTGCATGTTTGCATGCGATTGATGCAAAAAGTTTCATTTTATTCAAGAGCTTAGCAATATTACTTCTCATAAATCTATAAGGATAAGTGCATTCGAGAAAGTCATGATTGTCGAATCATACATTCTCTTCTACCTCCTCTATAGGTAATTCACTCAAATTGCAAATTCAATCAAAGATTCCAGAAATAACTGAAATCGTTCATTAATTTAGGATGCAATAAATATTTTGCTAAAACAGTCGATGTGGCCATCAAGTCTGGTAATCATTACGAACGCTACCAAAATGTTTGCTTGTTAGTTCTTCATGTGCAATATCCGTGTTTACTTCGAAAGTCAATTGATTAACTCGAACATATTCGAAAAATAATGCAAAAGGTTCAAGAGAAGAAGCTGAGCGATACTCATTACTTTCAGTAGATTCAAAGAAGCAAGTAAGTGTTTAGAGCAAATGAAACATTGTGGTAGTTATGAGTTATTCGATGTGCTGACAAGTGGACTTAAATACATGTGCATCGATCAGAAAGGAGGTTTGTTACTGTCAAATAATAATCACTTTTGTCTTGCGAAGAAATAATCCAAAGAGAAGCAGAATTTTTTGTTTTTCTGCCACTGTTTTCGTTTTCAGCGGAAGACCTTTTTCATTTTAATGTGTTGATTTGTGAAAGAGTTCATCATCAGATTTACAGCATTCAACGCAACAATGGAATGTGTCGACGTGAACACTTCAGAAATTCAAGATAGTAAGTAATTGTTACGTGTGAATGTTTAATGGTTCATTCGAAATTCTGATAGATTTCCGGGAGAATTTTCAGATTATTTGTTTTCATATTTCCGAAGCATTTGTAATTGGGAAATCTATTTTACTGCTTTTACATAAGTTATTGATCAGGTATTTATGTAGTTATTGTTATATAGTAAAGTTCTAGTTTATAGTTTACATAGTTATAGTATATAGTGTATATAGTTATATAGTTATTCATCAGGTATTTCTATAGTTACAGTTATCTAGCATAGTTAGTTATAGTTTCTAGTTTATATAGTTATATAGTTATAGTATATAGTTTATATAGTTATATAGTTATTCACCAGGTGTTCATCAGATATTTATCCTTGTTTGGTTTTGCAGAATGTTCAAAAGATTGCAATGTTGAGGGCATTCTAGCAGGATGGGGTGTATATGCAGGTTTAAGGCAAACCTCCCTCTTCACACCACAGGTCGGACCTAATCCAAGCAAAACGAACGTTCTGTTCTTTCGGAAAATCACTTCAGAAGGATGCCAGTGAGTCTCCACACCTAAATTTTTAATTACTCAGCAGAACGGATCAGATTCAAACATTGCATTTAGAGAACACAGTTGAACTGAATGAACTCGAGCACTTCCGAATACCAAATTGAGGAATGTTATGAGGCAATGTGATTACGAGAGAACTTATAAGTTGAGTATTTCAAAAAATTGGTATTTAGGGTATTACAATGCTTTTTATCATGCTTACGGACGAAATTCAACAGGCGATGCCTTGGTATGGCTGGCTCGTTGCTTTCGGTTCGTTCTTATTTCGGTTACAGTCATTACTTTTGTTCCAATATTTGAGGTCTTGACGATGCGATTTAGCTGACTTGAATTTCTTAGGGATATGGGAAGTACCACCTGAAAGGTACTTGGGTTTGGTA